TCTCACTGTTGTGGCCTCTCCCATTGCGGAGCACAGGCTCCGGACGCGCAGGCTCAGCGGCCATGGCTCACGGGCCCAGCCGCTCCGCGGCATGTGGGATCCTCCCGGACCGGGGCACGAACCCGTGTCCCCTGCATCGGCAGGCAGACTCTCAACCACTGCGCCACCAGGGAAGCCCCCTACATTAGTTTTTAATGAGTTGTATTAATATAAAATAAATTCATTAACAACATATTGTCTACAAGGACAAATATCTATTGAGGAGAAAATAGAAATTTCTCCTTTATTTTAAAAAGTATTGTAAGGGGGCTTCCCTGGTGGCGCAGTGGTTGAGAGTCTGCCTGCCGATGCAGGGGACACGGGTTCGTGCCCCGGTCCGGGAGGATCCCACATGCCGCGGAGCGGCTGGGCCCGTGAGCCATGGCCGCTGAGCCTGCGCGTCCGGAGCCTGTGCTCCGCAACGCGAGAGGCCACAACAGTGAGAGGCCCACGTACCGGGGGGGAAAAATATATATATTGTAAGGAGCAAGATTGGAAATAACAATTTGAGATAATGGAATACTTCCTGAACATTGTTTTGTTTTGTTTTTACTTTTTTAAACTTTTTATTTTATATTGGAGTATAGCCAATGAACAATGTTGTGATAGTTTCGGGTGCACAGCCAAGTGACTCAGCCATACATATACTTGTATCCTTTCTCCCCCAGACTCCTCTCCCATCCAGGCTGCCACATAACATTGAGCAGAGTTCCCTGTGCTATACAGTAGGTCCTTGTTGGTTATCCTTTTTAAATATAGTTGTGTGTACATGTCAATCAACTCCCTAACTATCCCTTCCCTCCCCCCCCACCCCCCTGCAACCATAAGTTCATTCTCTAATCTCTAAGTCTGTGAGTCCGTTTCTGTTCTGAACATTATTTTGAAAGGAAACTTTTGCTTGTATTTTTATGATGACATTTATCTCCAGGGAAGAAATTAGAAATGCTTTTCTGAATATACATTACATTGAAGAGCTTCTTTTAATTATATATATTTTATGGTGAATTATAAATTCTATTTTATATCTGCTCTGTAAGTATGAGCTAATGGGAGAAAAACCCTGGAGACATAGAGCTGTGACATGTTTTCAAATTCATTAAAAATGAACTCTTCATCTGGAATTGCATATTTCTTTTTGTGTCTTGTACTCAGGAAAGTACTCAGTAAAATAAAACCACTCCCTTCCTGCATCCCCATTAACTCTACTCTCTAAACAAATTGTATCAACTTTTTCAGAGTATAAAGAGACTGTTGCGGTCCGGGAGCCACACGCCTGGAGTCGAGTTCCCCGGTAAATGCGACACGTGTCCCAACCAAGGACACCCGAGAATCACCAACACCAAGTAGAAAGATTAGCAAAGGATTTATACAAGTATAGAAGCCTACACAAACTGTCCAGACGGGGTCCCACTCGGAGAGAAGTGAGTGAGACCCCGACTAACAGTTGGGCGAGGCTTTTATACCCTTCATAGGACGGGAAGTCCCCAAGGCGGGAGGGAGCTGTTTAATTTTGAATCAGCCAATCAGGAACCCGGTTCTTCCCGCCCCAAGCAAGCAAACAAGTTCCCCCTTTACAGAAGCCAAAGTACACTGTGGGCTGTTCCGTTCCAGGAAGGGTACGCTCCCTTCCTGTTCCTGGGCAAGCAAGCAAGCAAAGCAATCTTCTTACAGAAGCCAAAATGTGCTGTTAGCCCTGAAGCTGTTCTTCTGCTTCTTTCGTCACAAGACTTTATTTTTCATCAATAATATTGAATATTGCTTATGTTAATTTGGTTTCTGTAATGGAATACAAAGTATTGACTTTCTTAAAGCATATTTTTCTGAATTTTAAACTCTATCAAGTAACCAATGCCTTGAATTTGGTCCCTACTCATAGTATGGTGAAAATAAAAGAAGAATAGAGATAGGAAAACAAACAAACAGGAAAGAAAAAGGCTTCACAACAAATTTGGCATTACTTTGTCTTTAGAATCATGTGAAGATTAAGGAGGTTTTTGATGGATATAAATGAAATAGAATGAGAATCAGCTTAAAGAACTTAGACCATACCTGGCCACAATGCTTGCCCTTGAACAGGTCTCAGTAATAATGATCTTAATGGAACAAAAGAACAAAAAAATGTTATCAGATAAGAGAAGTAACAATAGCACAGATAATAAATCTGTCATAAAGACTCCCAGTTCTGTTTCAATAATAAAGATTAGCCTGAAGCATTTTCTTGAGCTGTTTTGCTCAACTGTAACCTGAGGTTTGATCGCCTTTTGTGACCCTCCTGCCTTCAACCAACAAAAACTTTGACTCTGTCGACCTTTGCCCCAATTCTGTGCTGAATTTTCTGCTCAAGCCCCCTCATGAATATGCATGTACCTTAGCTTAAGACTTGCCCAATTTTCCTGTTCGGAGAGACACTGTTTTGGGAAAGATCCCTGGTGTTATCCTTACTTGCTGCAAGTAAGAAATCCTGCCTTCTCTGGATCTTTGGTTGTGTCTTTCAGCTAGACATCCACCAAGAGGCAAACCCAGTTTTCCGGTAACAAAATTGCTGCCTTAAAATGGCTTATGTCTTTAAAAGTAAGATAAATGTGAAACTAGCTACCTAGCAATGCTAGCTTTTGTAACGCCTACTCTAAACCAACCACCATATTAAATATTAGGAAACAAAGATAAATAATAATAGCTCACATTTAATGAGTCCTCTGCTAGCTACTTTTCATGTATTATCTCATTTAATCTTCACAACAATCCTGTAAGTAGACACTTTTATTCTGTTCTTTCCAATGGGTAACATGGGTCTTCCAAACTTTGAATAGGTCAAATAACTAGAAGAAATTGTGGTGGAGATGAGGTTTGAATCAAAGTAATTTAACTTCAAAACTAATGGATTTAATCATGCTGCTTCCCCAAATTCTTGACTTTGAGGAACCTTTTTTATAAGAAAATGTTATGGAACACAGTTTGTGTGACCAATGCACAGTGAGGCCAAACAGACCGAAACATTGGAGTTTGGAGCAGAGAAAGATTTATTGTAGGGCCAAGTAAGGAGAATGGGTGGCTCATGCCCCCCCCAAACCCCAAACTCCCTGATGGTTTTGGGGAAGGAGATTTTTATAGGCAAAATTTGGGGTGAGGACTAAAGGGTGTGTGACTTTCTGCTGATTGGTTGGTAGTGAGGTAACAGCGTGGTGCTCTAGGAATCTTTTTTTTTTTCTTTTTGCGGTACACAGGCCTCTCACTGCTGTGGACTCTTCTGCGGACCTCTCACTGCTGCGGACTCTTCCGTTGCGGAGCACAGGCTCCGGACGCACAGGGTCAGCGGCCATGGCTCAGCGGCCATGGCTCAGCGGCCATGGCTCACGGGGCCATGGCTCACGGGGCCCAGCCGCTCCGCGGCATGTGGGATCTTCCCGGACCGGGGCACGAACCCGTGTCCCCTGCATCGCCAGGTGGACTCTCAACCACTGCGCCACCAGGGAAGCCCTAGGAATCTTATGCTCAACCTGAAGCTACTATCCTCCACCTGGGTGGGGGACATAGTTCCTACAGAATTCAAAGATATTGTTATGTATGTTCCTTGAGCAAGAACCAGGACCCTGCCCCAAGGCTGCACCATTGTTTCTTGATTTCTCCTCCCTTATTTCTGCATCCCCTCCCTTCCCTAATTAGAAACTGTTTGAATCTGCCCTTTGGAACTCAGGGAAGGTCAAGGAGGCTGAATGAAGCCTATTTCCTACAAACAAGAAATGGGGGACACAGAAAGTCTTTTGTGCCCAGGAGGGCCCACTGGGGAGAGCATTGATAGCTATTAACATTGAGCATTAAGAGCATTCTGAGAGCTATTAACGTTGTTGCAGGATAATGAGAGAGCCCAAGTCTGCAAGTCAGAGAAGCTTCACAGAGGTGGTCACATTTGAACAGGGTCTTGAAGGATGAATGGGATTTATTAGAACTTGGGGACAGAACATCCTAAATGCAATAAAGTAAAATCACTAAGGACTGAGGTTATTAAAGGACAGCATTTAGAAAAGGGAGGGTTTTATGACAAACTCAGGGGAAGTATATAAGATTTAAGTTAAAGTGCAGCGAGAGATGTTTGGAGGAGGTCACATGCCAAGTGCACCCAATATTCCCTCTGCTTGGAATTCTGCTCTTGTCCCCTTTCTGCCTATCCAATTATTCATCCTCCAAGACTAGATTGCTGTCAATTCCTTTGTGAAGCTTCCCAAGCTATCTATGTGGCCAATGGGCAAATTTAACTGAGTATGAGGAACTTTATCCAAATACCAGATCAAAGTGAAACCGCAGTCCTCCTCAGATGCAACTTGAACCCAGCCATACTTCAGATTGGGACTTGAACCCACAATACCAGACTTAGGAGGGGACTCAAACACATTGTCTTTTCATTGAAACAGCTTACATGGTGTCAGGACTTACTGAAGGTCATGTTCTTTGGTCTCAGCACAGAAATAATTCAGTGTGAAGCAAAGTGATAGGTAAAGAGTGGGTTTATTAGCATAGGATGCTTGTGAGGGATACAAGTAGTCAGGCAGGGGAGCACAGCTCCGAGAATAAAGAGGGCTATATTTTTATAACCAAGGAAAAAGTGGAGAGGGGAGAAGAACAGCTCCTTCCTCATTTTAGGGTGGAGGTCAAAGCTTACATCATTAGTCCCTCCTTTGACCCTATATGGTCTAACCCAGACTGTAACGGCGCTATTTAAATCATATGTATATTAGCGAAAGGGTGGTGACATATACTAAAATACAGTAATTCATCTCAGATTTCAGTACAATGTCCCCTTTCACCTAGTTTCTTTCCCCTTTCCCCTTTATTCCTGTTTTGGCTTCATGCAGAAATGCTACTCTTCAAGAACCATTAACTCCCTGACTTCCTGTAACTAGATGTAGACCCCATATCTACTGTCTTGTGTTTTAACTATCAGGATTTGTGGTTTGAATGCACCTGGTATTCCTTCAAGGTAGAGTAAACTTTCTGCTATGTTACTGGATTCTTTTTTTTTCTTTTAAACTGGATTGTTTTCTTGAATGGTCATTAGTTTACAACAGTCTCCCAAACTCCCTTAAAATTCTCTCTCTCTTTAATCCCCTAGTGGGATTTATAAACTAACTATTTAATTATCCTACTCTATCTCTATTAAAAAAAGTAAATATTAGGAGTAAATGTATTTGTAAGTTTCCTGACACGTATGAAGTACTCAATATTTCTGAAATGCAAAAAAGCCAGGATTGGCTTAGTATTTAGAAGGAGGCTGAATCCTAGGGGGCTTTGAACTCAAGGGCCCACCTGTAAGGGCTTCTGAACCTCCTCACTGATGTTTGCGTTAAATCATACCTACTTCTCTAGGATCCCTGAAGCTAAAAGAGGACTTTTTGCTTTATGTATTAAATTTCATATGCCTTGCACATAATGTTTGTTAATTGTCTTTCTCTCCTATTTATCCTCTTACTCCTATAAGGACAGAAGACATTGTAGTTCTGTTCTTTACACTGTTTTATACTCAGCAAAATGCCAGACAGTGTGCAACTAAAGTAGATGGGTGCTTTACAATCATTTGTTGTATGAATGAAGGATGTTCTTTCTGGCCTCTCCTGCTTAGGCTCTTTAGTTTTAAGTTCCTCAGATACAAACATAAAATATACTAAGGCAGAAAATTAGTTTGCTTTCTCTTTTCAAAAAAGAAGTGTAAAAGCATCAAGGTTTCCTAAATGTGATGTCATTAACAGAGTGACATTTCGTGGTTGCCTGTTGGACAATGTGTTTGTGGAAGAAATAGTGAATACAAAAAGTATATAGTAGACTCCTAGATATAACAGGATTTAAGAACGATAGTAGAAAATAGAGAACATATTTAAAATCTCCCCCTCGCCCAGAAAAGATTTTAAAAATGTTAGTTGTGGGTTTTATTTATTGATTGATTTATTTTTGGCCACACCATGCGGCAGGCGGGATCTTAGTTCCCTGACCAGGGATCGAACCCATACCCCCGCCATGGAAGCACAGAGTCGTAACGACTGGACCACCAGGAAAGTCCCTTAGCTGTGGGTTTTCAATCCACCGAACTTTTAAAAGAAGCGGTAGATTCCTTAAAAGAAACAAAAATAACAGCAACAACAAAAATTTACGAAAATTACAACACAATGAATCAGTGGCGGGAAAATCAAATTTATTTATACTGGTCTGAAGAAAGATCCTGGGTTGAAATGAGATACAACTTGGGGAAGATAAGACGACTCAAAGGTTTCCGTTTGGCAAAGCCTTCCGGGTTAGAGGAATAATTTATTTACAAGGCGGGATAGCTTGAAAATCTCTTGGGAATTTGGAGAGAAAAGTGAGTGTCTGTCGAGACCGCAGAACGTTCAGTGAACGGAAATATTTCCCAGGATCTCATTGCCGGGGAAGGAGTGACTGGGAGCGATCCCCGTGGACCGGCCCGATCGCACTCTCGGCCTCAGATTGGTCGAGTCTGTCCGGGCTGCAGGAAAAAGCGGAAGCGCGCTCTTTCAAACTCGCCTTCCCAACTTCGAGAGACGCAGACCACTTCCGGCGTAGCCATGGCGGCTAACGCTACCACCAACCCGTCTCAGCTTCTCCCTCTAGGTAACCGTTGTCGTGTTGGGGTGCCGGGGTGGGGAGCTGAAGATTAAGGTCTGGGCCCGAGGGGCAGCGCAGCCCGTGGCTGAGTGTTAGAAAAATGTATATGACCAATTGCTTTCTTTCTCCGCGGCTCTCCTCTAGGCGCCAAGTCTCTGCGGCCTCAGGTCGCCCACGTCTCTTCGGCGTGGTGGGGTTTTCTCGAGGCAGGGACTTTTGACGCCCCAGACCAAACCGTCACCGGAAGAGGTTCACGCTTAGTGAATAAGTCGTTGGTCTTCTTTGTTGTGAGCTCGCCTTTACAGTAGTGGATAGCAGTCCCGTTCCTCAACCTGGCATTTAAAATCCCCAGATTAGACCCTGTTGCCTATCTGGCCGGTTGTTGAGAGAGGCACCAGGATCTGGACTAAGTCTTAAAAAGAGAACTCTGGAAACTAGCGTTTCTTGCCGCTCATTCTTTCAGCAGTTATTGCGCCTCTGTGCACTGGACACTGTGATTGGGCACTGTTCAACAAACTAAAATCACGGCCGTTGCCTTCATACAGCATACAAACCAGTGTTGGAAACAGGTTACCGGGCAAATAAACATCGTACCGAATAACGCTAAGCCTGCTGAAGAGATGCTGCTGTCGGACTACAGAGGATAGACTTTTGGGGGGTGGGGTAGACGTAGTGACGAGAAGGGATCTCTGGTGAAGACATTTAGGCCTCTCTTTTTTTTTTTTAAATAATGTGCTATATCTTTCTAAAATTTTTTTAAATTAATTAATTTATGGCTATGTTGGGTCTTCGTTTCTGTGCGAGGGCTTTCTCTAGTTGTGGCAAGCGGGGCCGCTCTTCATCGAGGTGTGCGGGCCTCTCCTGTTGCGGAGCACAGGCTCCAAACGCGCAGGCTCAGTAGTTGTGGTTAACGGGCCTAGTTGCTCCGCGGCATGTGGGGGTCTTCCCAGACCAGGGCTCGAACCCGTGTCCCCTGCATTAGCGGGCAGATTCTCAACCACTGCGCCACCAGGGAAGCCCAGGCCTCTCTCTTAATAATTTGTATCTGAAGGGTGATTGAGCTAGTGGATGTGGCCGTGATTGTAAAGTGTCATGGAACAAACTCTTTTTGAATGATCAGTGTATGCCAGGCAGTGTCCATTGGGGATACACTGATGAGTAAAAACAACCACCATGTCTGCTCTCATGGACCTTAGAGTCTGGGGGGTGTGGGTGGGGTTCATATGTCAATAAGATAACCTAAAATAATATTAAGCCACAGCCATGATAAATTGTTACAAAGGAGGGGTAAGTGGAGAACAGGGAAAACTTTCCTGTTAATAGAATGATTCACAGAGACATGTAAGATCTAAAGTTTTCGAGTGAATACTTTTCCTGGTTTATATTTCACCATATGCAAGTAATAAGTGCCAGTAGGCACTCACATATTTGTTGAAGTAACGAATGGGCATAATAATCTTTTCTCTCCTCTCCTCCCCCCCCCCCTTTTTTTTTTAAAAAAAAATCCATAGAGCTTGTGGACAAGTGTATAGGATCAAGAATTCACATTGTGATGAAGAGTGATAAGGAGATTGTTGGCACACTTCTGGGATTTGATGACTTTGTCAGTATCCTTTTAAAAGTTGGTAGTATGGTTTTTTCTTCGGTATTTTAAAAAAAGAACTTTAGACAATCAGTACTTATGGATTTTTATAATAAAAATTAGTTTATTCTCATGGAAATTGTGATAGTGTTTTAAGAGGTGCGTGTACTGAAAGAAGATGAAATTACCAATCATGAGCATTTTGAATTTGAGCCATTGTGTTCAATGTTATAATTAAAACTGAACAAAGGCAGAAGCCAGAGTAAATTTAACTTGGTATATTTATTTTCTTAACACCAAATTTCAGATATGGTACTGGAAGATGTCACTGAGTTGTGAGTAGTGTTGAAAATTAAGGAATTGGGCAGGGGAATCTCTTTTTAATTTAAGGTAGTTTTAGTACTGTTGAGTCAGTAAAATGATCTGTTGAGTCAGAGAACACTGCCTATTCGAACTACTCTAAAGATAGAAGTTTTACCTACTGATGTTAGTAAAATTGGATTAGAGGATTATTAACTTTATGTAATTGTCACTAAATTGCTAGCAAATTAGTAGAGACAAAGCTTTAAGGTAAAAGGTACTAAAAACAGCCAGGGATCTTAGGGCTTAGGTCAAATAAAGGAACTGAATATATAAGAGCATTTAATGCTTTAAATTAATTATTCTACAACTTATATATAATAGAAAATGTAAATGATGCCTCAGTTATATTAATTATAAAGATCATGACCAGTAGCTCTGCTTTCAGATTTGAATTAATTACAGATTGGTATAATGGATAGGAATCAGTAGTAAATAATAGTAAAAAGAGTGAGGATAGTAAACATTTTAGTTCATATTTGATCTCCTTGGCAAGTTTCAGCTTTTTAGATGAAGATCAGCTCAGTGGATGTGGATCTTAGGCCAGTCAGTCCACTCTGTTGCCTTTGGGGAAGAATTTACATCACCCAGGGGTGATGTACGTCACCCACTTTGTTTCTGAAAAGTGTTGGTACAATTGCCTGACCTCCTGTTCATTTATATAGAATAATTAACCTTTAATCTATTTGTTTAGTGAAATCACACCAGAAGGAAGAAGAATTACTAAATTAGATCAAATTTTGCTAAATGGAAATAACATAACAATGGTAAGACACAGTAAAGCTATTTTTATTTAGATGTTAAGCCATTTTTGTAGGGCAGGGATTACAGAACTAACTTGCTTGACTAAATGCTCATGGGTCCAGTGGTGCTTAAGATGGGAAATGGGTGCTCTGGTGCTCAGGGCTCTATGGCCAAACTGTTGAAGATGACATTAGGCCTAAGATTAGTTTGCTTGTGCCTTTTTTTTTTTTTTTTTTTTTTGCGGTACGGGGGCCTCTCAGTGTTGTGGTATCTCCCGTTGCGGAGCACAGGCTTTGGACGCGCAGGCTCAGCAGCCATGGCTCACGGGCCCAGCCGCTTCGCGGCATGTGGGATCTTCCCAGACCAGGGCACGAACCCATGTCCCCTGCATTGGCAGGCGGACTCTCAACCACTGCGCCACCAGGGAAGCCCTGCTTGTGCTTTTTAATCATTTGTGTTGCTAGGAATTATTGTTGAGACACTAAGTATTAATTGATGATGTTGGAATTGTAAACAGCAGCGACATGGAGAAAATGGAAATATGGGGGAGGGGCAAAGAGGCGTGACTCCAATCAGTGAGGAGCTCTCAGTAGGGGTTTTTAGATTATGTAGTACTAAACTAAATATTAAACTTTTTCCTCCTTTGCAGCTGGTTCCTGGAGGAGAAGGACCTGAAGTATGAATGGATTTCCTTGACTTTTGCTAGATTCTGTTTTGTCTTATAATGACAACAAAATAGAATTTTTATTTTAACCTTTTAATGTTTGTATGCTCTGAAGCCAAGTTTTCCGTTAAAGGGAAATGCTTTGAAGATGCATTGTAAATGCCTGTTTTTGTAAGTTAATCATGATTATGTTGGAAGAAGAAGAACAGTTTGTTCTATGAAAACAAAAATAAAGGTGTTTTTGTTAACTGTCATTTATTTATTATACTGCAATAGCCAGTGGTTGTAGTTACTTTGTCACTTGCTTTCCTGTCATTTTATGATTATTTGCTTCCTCATTTAGGTGACCATTTGATTCTCAAACAAAATTGTTCCAAACAAAATGAGCTTTGATTTTGAACAGGTGCATTAAAAAAACCTGAAATGATTGCTTACAAAATTCAGTTCAAACTCTGATGCTTTGAAATGAGGATTTTTCTACTGAACTCAAGTTCTGTTAACTCCTATTAAAAACAAAGAAGCAAAATACACAGGTAATATATGCACATTGAAGTGCAGATAAAGTAAAAAGGAAAATATTAATCACTTTGCTGTATATCCTCTTAGACTTTCTTAATATACTCTCAGTACACACTTTATTTTTACAAAAACTTACTCTTCCTGAATGTACTGTTTTGTAGCCTCCAGATAAGACTTTTTTTTGAATTTAAATGGGGAGAATCTTTCCATGTCAAATATTTTGGCAGCATTAATGTGTGCATAGTATTTTATTAAATGGGTTTACCATAATTTATTTAGCATATTCTTTATTACTGGCCACAGTAGTCTAACTAAATCTTTATACATATTTGTTTTTCTTAGAATAAATTCATAAATATGTAAGGTCAAAGGATAGATATTGTTGTGTTGCCAACAAAAAGTTTGTGCCAACCTACATATAGTTGTAGTTTTTCATAGTACCCTTCACACACTTACCAACATTGGCTATGTTCTATTTTCTCCTCTCTTTGCCATTGTGATAAGCAAAACCTGGTATGTTTAAATTTTTAAAAATTAATTTTGAACTGATTTTATTTTGTGAATTACTTATATGAGGGTTTTGCCATTGAGATACTGTTCTTTTTCTTACTAATCTGTCAGAATTCTTAATACGTTACTCTTAATCGTGCATTTTGCAATAACTTCCCCAGTTTGTAGTTTGCCTGTTGGTACTTTGTTTGTTTGTTTGTTTGTTTTTAATTTTGGCTGTGTTGGGTCTTCGTTGCTGCGCACGGGCTTTCTCTAGTTGTGGCAAGCAGGGGCTACTCTTGGTTGTGGTGCGCAGGCTTCTCATTGCAGTGGCTTGTTGCGGAGCATGGGCTCTAGGCACACGGGCTTCAGTAGTTGTCGCGCGGGCTCAGTAGCTGTGGCTCGCGAGCTCTAGAGCACAGGCTCAGGAGTTGTGGCACAGGGGCTTAGTTGCTCCGCTGCATGTGGGATCTTTCTGGACCAGGGCTCAAACCCGTGTCGCCTGCACTGGCAATGCTGTGTTCTCAAACAAGTGGGAGAGAGTTCCGGTGCTTTTTTGCCACATAGCTTACACACTTTCCTTTTTCAGGAAGGTGAGACTAAGCCAGAAGACTGTATACCAGATGTCCCAGGCAATGAACATGCCAGGGAATTTTTGGCCCACACACCAACCAAAGGACTTTGGATGCCACTGGGAAAAGAAGTCAAAGTCATGCAGTGTGAGTGTGGAAGGGTTTCAAGTAACACCCTCAATACGTGCAAGTTATAGACCACAGTTTACAAAAATGTTCACTTATTTGTTCTCACCACTGCGCTGTTAAAGTCAGGGTACGATCTCTGTTCTATAGATGAGGAAGCCGCCTAACATATGTTATTAAGTGGTACAAGGTGAGGCAGAGCGGTGCTTTGACTCCAGGGCTTCTGGCTACAAGGGCAATGGACTTCCACAGGGCTGTAGCTGACTGCAGAGTATATGCTTCAGTATTATGCCTGTAATGGAAAGGATATTCCATGTAAGGTTTTATCCAGGTGACCTGAGAGGAGCTCTGGGCCACAGAGGGTGGGTCTGCAACAGGTAGAGCTCTGTGTGCACACCCTCCACCGCATCAGAGCAGCAGCACCTTCATCCAGCGTAAGATGGTGTTTGAAGAAGGGGTACTGCTGCCTTCAAAGACATTGTTTGTACAAAGATTCTTCACATACACAATTAAAATAGTGTTTCCCAGCCCCTTTCCTTCATTCTCCTCACCTCCAAGGGACCACCTCAACCTCTTTTAAGAAGGTTATTTTGAAGTTTAGCTCTGGACTAAACAAGGACTAAACATACCAAAGGCAAAAAATTTGCTCATAAACTCACCTTGTTTTTAAAAATCCCTTCCAAGTCACCGAGCATCAATCAAAGTCATAACAGCCAAGAGTTAAGATGTGACATTACCCCACCTTTAAGTAGAAGTGGTAGGCTTAAATATTTCTTGAGTCTAAAGGTTCTGGGACTAAGACTGGAACTTATTTAAACTTCCCTGGGGCTCTTATGCATCCCATTCTTCACTTACCTGCTTTGCTTCATTCTTTGCACCCCAGAGGTAATCATCTCCCAAAGCTCTCCTTTGGGCCCTCCCTGCCTCCCCACTCCTGTCAGCTGTGCCCCCACCAGTCATAGGATGGTCCAAACTCAAGCTTCAACCACATGTGGGGAGGCTGCTAGTCCAGTCCCTCAATCTCACCATTTTATGTCCCTCCCACCATAACCCACACAGCAAAGCAAAACAACTTCTCTTCCCAACTTCTGACTCCAGCCATTTTTTAAAGATTCAATTCTGTTAGTCCTCTCACATATCTTTTACTCCCATGTGAATCAAAACCCTCACCACTTTGTTTTGTTGAATAAAACTGGTTTTCAGCCATATAGGCACTCTTCACTCTAATTTCTCCTATAAAATACTGCTGGTTGAAATTCCTACGGCACATTTCTCTCATTTCTCAGTCTGGATTAGCCCCTTATTGCCTACAGGATAAAAATCTATAAGCGAAGAAAAACACTACTACTTTACCCCATTCTCCTATTTTCCAATTCCTCTGCGAGTCTTCCCTTCTCTGGCAGGATGGTCTCGAGAGGAACCCTGCTTTGACTGCCCATTTGAGCTCACGCTACTGTCTCCATTCCCACTCCAAACTTGCTCCTCTTTTGTCTCCAAACCACAGAACCTAAAACTGTGTCGAAATTCTCTGCCTCCACATGGACTGCCCATTCTCAGCAATCCAGCTAGACTGATGTCCTCCTGACTATCTCAGCCCAACTCTCCTTACAGCCACCATCCAGCTCTTTATAATCTAATAGAGCACTTTGTTTCACATTACATTGCAGTTTCCTAGAATGCAGGAATTCTAACTTGGGATTCTCTGCAAATCCTATGAATATGGGCACCTACAGCTTAAGTGAAAACATACTTTAAAAATGGAGAAATACTGTTGATTCACAGCTGCCTTAGCATCCAGGACCCAGTATGGAACCACCGCAGACAATCAAATAAGATGAACCCCCTAGTCACTTACATTCCAGTGGTTTGTGAGAGGCTCTCCTGGACTCCAGTCCCTCTGGCTTGGGCATAGTATGTTTTCTTCGGAGGGTGACACCAGTGCTTTCATAGCCATCCTTTCGTTTCAGCTGGTAAACCACAGGGACGACGTGCTCATATTCACCACCAGCTTGTAATAACCTGTACTAATTTCTGGTGGGTCAGACCATAAGTTAGGGAGGGACAGAGCACTCAGGTGGCATCCTGATTATCCTTCCAGCCTTCAGATAAGACCTTTCTTTGGAAGATGTCAGAGGGCCCTGTGGACTCACTTCTTCAAGGAGGCATTCTACCTCATGCATTACATCTTCA